GCCCTCCGCTCACCGCTCCAGCTGCTTCTGGTGCTTCTCCTCCCGGGCCTGTGCCTTCATCTGCTGCACCTCGATGGTGTCGGGCTTCCTGCGGCGCATGTACAGGTCGTGGTTGCCCATGCACAGCTGCAGGATGCGCTTGTTGATGCGCAGGCGCGGAGCGTAGAACACAAAGTCCTGCAGAGCAGAGCGGGACCTGACTCGGGCCCTCTCCTGCTTCTGCTGTCCCAGGCCAAACCACGTGCTAGATGCGTTCCGGAAAGGACAAGCACGAGGCCGGCGGGGTGCCTCGCGGGCTGCGGGTGGGCCCGAGCGCTGCCCGGCGAGCTCCTGACCTGCAGGCCCGCCTGTCTGTCCTCTCCGGCCCTGCAGCCGCCCTCCCAGGCCTGCCCAGAGCGCCCCAACCGCTCCATCCGAGCGCCCCTCTCACTGCCTCGGCCTGTCAGCCCCTCGGCTACGAGGCTGCGGGGGCCACTGGCCCTTCAGCGCTGGCTCTGCCCGGCCGCCCCTCGCCGGCCGCTTCTACACCCACGCGCTGCTTCAGACGGCCTCTGCCCCTCGGGATGCGCCGGGCACGAGGAAGCCGCCTCGCCTGGATCGTGGGAGCTCATCAGCGCCCTGCCCACGCCCCGTGCCGGCAGAGGGTCACCGCGGGGGGCCTCTCCACTGCTCCGAGTGCAGAGCTGCATTCTCTCATCAGGGTGACAGTTTGAGCACAGGAGGTATGTGGCACAGACACCCCCACAATGGGAAGGTGGCCGCTGGGTGTGCTGCAGGAGCAAAGGAGAGGCGGCTTGAGGGACCTGGCCATGGCCCGTGCTCGCAGCGGCCAGCATGGAGGCCTCGGGAGAGGCTCGCGATGCGGCGCAGTGGTTTGGGCCATGGGGACCAGCTCCCAGCTCCCCACTGTGCTGTGGATAATGGTGACTCGGGAATGTGGCTTAACATGCTCACTCAGGGCCCTCCCTGGTGGCACAACAGGTTAGGGCGCAGCCCTGCAGGCTGGTGGCAGCCACTTCAGCCCGAGTTCGATCCCCGCCCCAGAGGTGACCCACAGGGCGCGGCAGAGCTCGCCTGACCCACCCGCTGCTCCCCTCAGCAGTGTACTCCATCAGTCGGCCTGTTCTGCTCCCCACTCTGTGTCTGATGAAGCCTCTCACTGCCCCTGCACCTCTGACCTGTACCCAGTTCTGTGTGCATAAATAAATCTTTGAAAAATAAATAAATAAATAAATGCTCATTTGGTTTTCAAAAGGCCTGTCTGCGTCCTTTACCTTTCTCATCTCAGTCTGGATCACAGGGCGCTCAGCACCCAGCTTCTGCCACTGGGCTGGGAAAAGGGTGATTGAGATGAGCGCGCTGGCGAGTGGGCCACCCAGTCTTTCCACTGCCCCAAGTGCAGCCTGGGGCGAGGCCTCCTCACCCAGAGAGGCCTACACAGCGCCTCCATCTTTTCCCTGGCCCAGAAACCGGGGAGGCTGCCCTGAGCCCACGGCTTCCGGGGTGGGGCTCTCCTTGGGGTTTCACACACTTGTGATTAAGTCCTCGGGTTTCCCGGGGAGGTGTCTGCAGAGCTGGGAGCAGCGGGTATTTTTATTACCCACCCATCTCTTGTTACACAAGAGAACACAACCCTGGTTCTGGCAGCGACGGCCACACGGCTCTGCTGGCAGCAGCGCCTGCCCAGCACCTGCTTCTCAGTCCTGAAACATCGAGGGACGGAGTGGCAGGAAGTGTCCGCTCACGGCACCAAGGGCCGGAGGCAGTCCCAAGATCTGGCGGGACAGGGCGCTCGTGGGCCCAGGGAAGCCCCCGGCTGCCTTGGTGTCAAGGTAGAAAGAAAAGGGACAACCGTATTTGCTCTGGGCCTCTGTGATCCCCGGGGTCCAGCCAGCGCCCAGACGCAGCTCCAGGCGGCCACAGTCCCGCGGGCAGTGGGGAGAAACGGGCCTGTCCGGGCTGGTGCTGGGGCACTGAGCAGGCCTGGGCTCGGTCACCAGCGTGGTGTGGTGCCCTGCACAAGGCACCCGACACAGGACCCCCGACCTGAGGATGTGAGCCCCTCTGGGCACCCGACACAGGACCCCCGACCTGAGGATGTGAGCCCCAGAGCTGCTCTACCTCTACCTTCTAGGTGAAAGGAGAGCCCGGGAAACTTTCCACTGCCCCAAGTGCAAAGTCTGGGCCGGGCGGCCGTGGAGGGAGGTGTGAGGGTGCAAGGTGCGGGGTGGACACCCCTCACCAGCAACTCACTCACAGCCCTCCCCTGGGGCTCCTCTTGGGGACTTTCCAGCCCAGCCGGCCTCAGCTCATCTCTCACCCCTTCACCCTGGTTTGTTATTTAATCACAGCTGCATTGTTAAACCACTGCCAGCGGCTTCTGACTTGATTTACTTGTTTTTCTCCCGCACAGAAACAGTATGCAGGCTGCCACGGAATGCGGGTTGCCCAGGGAATGCGGGCTGCCACGGAATGCGGGCTGCCACGGAATGCGGGCTGCCACGGAATCCGGGCTGCCACGGAATGCGGGCTGCACCTGCAGTGTCGGCCTGGCTGGCAAGCCTGTGGCCAGGGTCTGCCCCCTTGTTCTCCCTCTCCGGCTTCACGCAGTACAGGTGTGATCACCTGAGCCAGGCAGGGGCATGGGGTTGCCTTTGCGTAGGGGTTTAGGATTAGGGACTACTCTGTAGCTTTTCAAAAGCAACACTTAGGACCAAATTTTGAAAACACACAGCTTAATCCTTAAACAGGCTACGCTAGACACCCTTTCCAGTTTAATTTAAACAACCCAGTTGTTTGAAGATTAGCCCCTTCTCCCCGAGCAGACCTGTGTCCTGCTCCCCCAGCCACCACGCGCAGGGCTGAGTAACGGGGTCCCCACAAAGAGCCGCGTCGTGGGCTGCAGGTGGATGTGGGGTTTCCCTGGCAGCGCAGGGTGAGAACGTGCGAACAGCAGAAGCACTTGCAGTAAAGCAAAGACTTCCACAGGCCGTGTCCACACCTCTGGTATCACTCTGTGGGCTTAGCTGCCCACGGGAGGGCAGCGGACGGCAGCGCCGAGCCGGGCCCTGGGCTCCGAGGCTGGCCTCCTGTCTTCTCACTGAGCCGACGCTGTCACCGAGACACAAGTCCTTCCCTGGCTACCCCTCCGGTGAAATTCAGGAGAGGAGGGAGTGAGAGAACAGTGGCCATGTTTTAAAGGACCGGCTTTCTGATTAGAAAACCAAACCCGGCCCTCCCTGGTGGCGCAGCGGGGTAAAGCACAACACTGAGAATCTAAAGCCGCTTC